CGCAGAGAATGTCTTCTTTCTCTCCTAATAGTCTGATGCTCCCACTAACCTTCAGGCCCTTTGGATCTACCCATTTTGCAGACTACAGCTCCCTAGGTCCCAAGTGCAGTGAATGGATGTGCCCCAGTCTGATAGCCCTGATTTAAACCCTAGTTCTGATCTTCCATTCCTTCATTTGTGAAATAGGTGTTAATTATAGCACAGAGTAGGTGTTCAATAAATGATAACTGTCCTCTATTTCTACCCCGGCACCAAGACACCTACTACATAGCCCAAAGTGAGAAAAACCAAAGGTCTGAGAAATGAGAGTGGATGCTGGTTTTGCAATGTTGCCAAGACCAGTTCGGTAGTCAGGCAAACAGCCCAACTCCTGCTCTGCTCCCCCGCTTTACTCTATAAATGTGTTCCTGATGATTTGCAAATGAACTGTATTTCAAGCAATCCAGAGGTGGGAATTAGAGAAAGATATATTTTTTTTTTTAAGAACTGTGGAATAAAGAGTCTTTGTGTAAAGTGTATAAAGACCCACAATCTTTCTGCTTTTGAGTTTAGACATTGTATCGTAGGGCTTTCTTCAACGGAGGCCAGTCCGTGGATGGAAATTCTCTCACCAGACTTCTCTTGGGAATCTCTGGGTCCCCTGAGAGAAGACCTGTGCTGCCCTCTTCTCTTCACTAGAGGTGCCCCAGTCTACACCCTTGCTGGGCTCTGAATGGGTTCCTGCCTGTGGGCAGAGAGCTGGAGTCTTCATCCTCATGGCCCCAGCACCTGGCGCAAAGGCCTTCTGAGAGGCGGTGCTTGTGGAATGAATGAGATGACATCGAGAGTTTGGAGGTCCAGTGCATTTATGAATCAGGTTCAGAGAGCTGAAGTGATGTGTCCCAGTTACATAGCTCATTTGCAACGGAGCTGGGATCAGAACCCATAGTCTAGTACTGAGTGAGAGAGAGACTAGGAGTCAGATGACTGTTTTAGGTTGGACTTTGCCGAGTACAGGCCATGTGACCAAGGGAAAATCATTTTCCTCTTTGGGCTGCAGTACCTCATCTGTCAAAGGGGAAATCATGAGGATCCCAGGAGCCGCAGATATAAACTCTAATCCCGTGGAAATGGAGTGTATTCTATTCTAAGCAACATCAAAGCATCCAGTTAAAATCCTCCCTCTGTATCCTCAGGGGATGGCTCCAGGACTCACAGACACCAGAATTGTGGATGCTGAAGTCTCTTATATAAAATGGCATAATATTTGCATCTAATCTGTATTTCCATACAGGCCACAGTAGGGTACACCTACACAGCACTTCATTCGCCTCGATTCAGCATAGCGCTGGGCACATGGTAAATTCAGGTTCTGCTTTTTGGAACTTTCTGGGATTTCTTTTCCAAATATTTTTGATCCGCGGTTGGTTGACTTCTTGAATGTGAAACCTGTGGATATGCAGAGCCAACTGTGTTTGGAAATGACGCCATCAAACTAATCTATCTTAAATTCAGGAAAGATAGAGATGGTCTTTCTCCTCTTTCTGTTCATTTAAGATCTCCGAAGTCAGGGCTCAGACTGTGGTTTTGTGTGTGAAGGCTGATGGAGCAAAAATGTGAGGGGTATGTGTGTGTCTGGGGGAACGTGGAGATGAGGCTGTGAGATGACCAGGCTGGAAAGGTCTCCATTCTGGCCCTCCATGATCCTACAAAACGAGCTCAGGATAAAATGGCCTCCCTTCTTGAGGTATCAGTTTTTCCAGCTGCAGAATGGGGGACTTGTGGGGACAGAAGGGAAAAGTCATGGTATATGATTGCTAATTTTCTCCCAGAGAAAACTGCAAGGCCATTCCAGAGAAGTTTGCTAGAAAACTCAGGGGCCTGAGCCCCCTCCCCAGAGTCCACTCAACTCTTCCTGGTAAGTCAAGAGGGACATATCACAGCTGGGATCCCAGCAGCCTGACTCGGGAGCAGTGGGCTGGGGCCTTCCCTGAAGCCAGTCTTGGCAAGCAGAGAGCAAAACCTCACCCTGGTTCTCTACCCTCACCCCTTTCCCTGGGGCTACAATGGTTGCTTTTGTTGGCAAGTATTGTATGTCCATGCTCTTTTCTACTGAGGAAGCCTTTGTTGGAAAGAGGAGACATAGGAGCATAGCTCAGAGTCTGAGAAGGTGGGGGAAATGGCTGGGTGGCCAGCCTGTTTCTGGAGAGGAACGGGGCCAAAGCAAAGAAATCTATGGGCATCAGCACCCTCCTAGGAAGGTAAATTCTGGGTCCCAGTCTCTCACCTTGGGATTTTTCACAGGAGAGAATGGCTTGGGTGTTTCTGTTGTTGACAGTCCTCCAACACTTATCCAGTACTCTTTCAGTCTACAGCCCTGGCAAGAGAGGGAGAGATGCAATTTGCACTGTGCAGAGTCAGCGACCCACTGGAAGACATAACAAGTACATGAAAAAGCCTGAAAACTAGGTAGGACAGAGAGAGAGAGGTGTGCTCTGGATGAAGGAGCAGGGTCACCAGTAAGAGCTATGGAGATTCAGAAGGAGAGGGCTCAGGGGAAAGTTCTGCAGAAGACATGGATCCGAGCTGAGCCTTCCACAGGAGAGGTGGCAAGGAGAAGCACTCTTGCTGCAAGGACTGGCTCGAGCATGGGCATGAAGGTCGGAACAGTTCACCTTGAAATGAGCGCCCCCTGAAGAGGGAGGCAGTCCTGGCCTCTGGCCCATTCTTCTTTGAGCATAGACAAAAAACCAGAGAGTTGGAACTAGAGGTACACTGAGACCGTCGCTAATCCGATGCCCATTTAACAAGTTAGGTAAACTGAGGTCTAGAGAGAGATAGGGACTTGCCCATGGTTGCACAGCTAGTTTAGAGTAGGGACGGGCCCCTGGCTTCAAAATCCGGGCACCTGCCCTCTCATTTGCAGAAGCACAGCCTCTCCCCAAAGCACCAGTTCCTCTCCCTTGTTCCCCATGGCTTCCAAGATGAAGAAGTGGTTTGAGGTTGAGACAATAAAATCTCCCCATTTCATAAGGAGGCACAGACATCCCTAAGGAAGTAGGAGTGCCAGCCTGGGACAAGTCTCTGCAGCAAGAGGCCAGGAAACCCTAAGGGAGGGGCATCTGGGTGACGCAGTGGGAGGCATTGTTGTCACTGCTCAGGGGGCCTAGCAGGTAGCTGTCATTTGTTGAGTACCAGCTGCTATGCTAAGCACTATACATGTTACCCTGAAACACACACAGAAGATCCCTTTCTCATATCCTTTGGTGTGCCCAGTGACCAGCTAGCTGGGTTCTGACATACTAAGGAGATGAGAAAGGTAATTTTGCTCCTAGCTCAGTGAAAGCCACCACCATCCACACAGTTAGGAAGCCAGACGGCCACCCTGGTCACCTCTCTCACCAGCCATGTCAATCATCTCCAAGCCCTGGTATCTATTCTAAAGGACCGCCCAATATACAGCTACTTCCTTCCATCCTGAATGCACTCCCAGCCCCTGAAACCTTTCCAACTGCATCCAGAGGAGGTATCTGAAACATATCTCAGATTGCTATCCGCCTCCACCATAAAACCTACAAAGTTTCCATTGCTCTTAGGATATAGACTCCCTATCTCAGTCTATGAGGCTCCTGCCTTCACATTTCTCCAGCTAGCTCCTTGTAATGCCCCAGGTTCACCTTGCCTCAGGGCCTTTGAACAGGCCATTCCCTCTGTACTGAAGGCTCTATGGTCCCTCTTCACCCAGTCAACCCCTGCTGACCTTTTGGATATTGCTTTGGTCGTCACTTCCTGAAGCCTGTTCTGCCCCACCAACTAGGTCAAGTCCCCCTGTTGTGGTACCTACCACCTCCATCTCCTTCACAGCACTTCTCACTGTTGAGTTTCACCTGATTCTGTGCAATTCACAAATGAATGTCTGCTTCCCCCCACCCCCAGACCATGAGTTTCACAGGGAGCAGGAACCTTGTCCAGGTTTTTCCCCTCATTGTATCCCCCGTACCTGTGCTGTGTTTGGCACCTAGTGGGCCCTCTGTCAATATTAGTTAAATTAATAATCAAAGGAATGGGAGTTGGAGAAAGAATAGTTCATGGAAAATTTGAAGAGTTAAGCATTTCCCAGAATCATTCCAGGGGAAAACTTGAGACACACTTGTAAGTTCTGATTCCACCAACAACTCGAAGGTCAGCAAGCTCCACAGCCAGGCAGGGATGGGGAGAAGAGTTGCTTCATGTCTCCCCAAGCCTTGACAAGGTATTAAAAATAACAAAAATCAGTCCTCGCAGCTGCCACTTATTGGCCAGGCACCTAACATATTTTCCGCAGTTCTCGCAACAACATTGCAAGTTGGTCTCACCTCTGCTTGCAGGCTTTGCAAGGTTAGGCGATTTGCCCCAGTACTCACAGCTGATTAATATCGGAGTCATAATGACACCCAAGTCAGATTTCAACTCACAAGCTTCTGAGGACACCGTGGTGCCTGCACAAGATTTTCCCGCCCTCAGCCCCTTAGAGGTCACCAAGTTAATTTTGTCTTCTTTTTTTATTTTAAAAAATATTTTGGTTGTGAACATCATAACACACACAGAAAAGTGCCCA